AAATTTGATAAAAAAATCTAAAAACTCTGAAACCAAGCTTTTTTAAGGAAATATCTGTTTACTGGTTATGATGTGGTTTGTTTTATTTGAGGAACGAATAATTCTTGTTTTTATTCTTTAGCCCGAGACAAAATGGAACAAAATACTTGACTTTTAGTGACATATTTACTACAAGAACAATATGTGTGAATCTCAAGAATATTCTCACCCAATGATGAATATCCTACTTACTTCCAATGAACCAATCAATTCAACATGCTAAACTTCTTTAATACAATCCCTTACCTCTATAACTCTGAAATTTGTTATCTGTACATTTAAAAGCGTTATAAAGTTTCAAATTATTGTTCCAATGTCTGTGTTTAACCATTGTTAAATACTGTAAATACAGGGTGGTCCGGACATTGTGTTAAACACTAAAAAACTATTTCACAAATCCATAACAAACAATTTTTTTTATTTTAAAATTGCATTATGAGCCAAAAGTTTATCATTTGTGAGGTATTTGAATACATTTCTCAGCCTTCACACACAAAAAAAAGTTAAACTTACGACAATTGTGGTATAAATCATATAATTGACAGTAAATTAAAATGTTATGTTGTTTAGTAATTTAAAAAGGGTTAAACAAGTTTATATGTAGTAATTTCATAAATTAGGAGTTAGGGACGTTAGGTCAAGACAACCCTGTATAAGTTCATAAATTACGTTAGGTATTTTTTACAAAATATGGGCACAGCACGATCAATTATGACATGTAATATTTGTATTTAAATATCTAAATTTATTCCAAACAATCAACTGTTTACAGAAACAAACTGTAACTCAGTTTTTCCACAAAGTAATTCCACACTTAACTTTTGAGGTATACATTTTACCATCGCAACATTAATATAAACTCCCCTATAAAAAGAAATTGTAAACTCTAAAAACATAATAATGAGCAAACATTATTCCACCCATGAGCAACACTATTTTGTAACACGGTAACAGGTAACAACAGCTTGTAACAACGTCTATTTATAAATATTTACAAATTTTATATACATTTATAGGCCGTCTAGGTTTCTCAAACACACGCTAAATCAACACACTGTTTACACTTTGGAGAACCTTTCTTAATCAACTGTAAAATTATTTTTGCTTGTGAAAAAAGGTATTACACTTAAACTTACACTATGAATCAGTTAATTCTTGTATTACTTGATAATTTCAAAAGGACACCTTGTTTAAATTTAACTTGACTCGAAAGTCTGTTTTATTGTTTGGTTTATATATATAAATGTGTATAATTTTTTTCAGGCACTGGTAGTAATTGTATTGAATCAAAGTACAGAAATATTTTTGTCAACGAGCCGTGTAATACGATTTGGAAAGACTTTAAAAATATTGTACAGAGCAGCTTAACAAGTTTTCTTATCAGAAACTTTCTATTTGATTTTATGGATGAACCTAGGAAAAATTTTAGCCAAAATAAAAATTACCAAAGTTGATATCTCTATCTTTGTGTATATTGAAGCAGAACATAAAGTTACTTGGCAAACTTACAATAATAATACTGAAAACAATATATCAGTATTATAAACCTAATTTATAATAAACATAGGATCACACAATAACAAAATTACACAAAAATAAAAATACACATCAACACTAAAAAATAACAGCCTTTAAAAAAAATGGTCGGCTACAGGTAAAGTGAGTTTTAACTTTTAACACACCAGATATAACCATAGCATTTGTAATCTTACAGCCAAAATATTAACGTGTGACTTAGTTTGAAGATTTAAAAATATATAGAAATATAATATTTGTTCAACTAATAAATTAAAACATACAGTAAAGCCTCAATAGTTCAACCTTTTTGATGTTATAATATAAAGGGTGAGTTTAAAATCCATCCACTCTACAAAAAAAAAATAATTTAAGTTTGAATGTTTAACTTGCACAATGCACATCTTTGTTAGACCTAAATATCTTTTTTTTTCATGAGTTCATTGACTCTCCATCTCCAATGGGGGTGAGGAGAATCTGGGTCCCTGAGGAGTATGCCGAGATTCTTAAGTTATATGTAAGCACAGGTTGACATTGACATCAAATTAAAGGTCTTGTTGAACTAAAAACAATGCCACATACTGGACCTCAAATGAACAAACTAAAAAATGACAGCTATTCCTAGAATTTGCAATGCTTATTATACGGGCGCCCGCTAGAAGACGGAAGAAAATCATAAACGTAAGCATAGGTCGATATGCACATCAAATAAAAGGTTTTATTAGCAGAATACATTGCTGCAAATTTGAGCTCAAAAAAACAACTGAGTAAAAAATGGTAGCCGTTTAAAGATTCAAAATGGCAGATTATAGAAATCTTTGAACAGCTGCCATTTTTGACTCAGTTGTCCATTTGAGGTCCGGTTTGCGGCATTGTATTCTACTAACAGAGACCTTTAATTTGATGTACATGTCAACCTATGCTTATATTTTAGTATCTCGACTTACTCCTCGTGGACCGCCCCCCATTCGAGGTGGAGAGTCAATGAACCCATGAAAAAACAAGATATTTAGGTCTAACAAAGATGTGTGGAGTTTAAACATTCTAACTTATACTGTTTCAAAAAGTAGGGGGGAAGGTATTTTAAACTCACCCTGTATAGCAGAAGTTGGAGTACAATAGAAATAAATTGGGACCGGACTTCATCCGAATAAACCAAAATCCGGACAGTTAGATATTTAAAGAAAAAAGTATACAAAACCGTGGCACTTATCAGATTACTTATCGCTCACCAGATCAGTACGACAATATGATAGACTAGCCGCATGATGGACACGATCAGTACACATTAAAATATGTAATAAATTACCGCACACCGCAAAAAAACTAATTTTCCACAAAGCAAACAACATTAGGGAAAACAGTTATTTGCAATGGTTTGTTTAATTTTTTGTCCTTTTATTTGAGATTCACGACTTCATTTTTTTGGGTGTGAATACAAGATCTGAAGTTCTTAAACTATACATAATGGAATCAGGGGTTTGTAAAGTTGTTACAGAATATCTTATGTAAATTCAATTCAATTTTTGACAAAATGGTTATAAATAATATTTACACTAGTTTAATTACTGAGTATTTACTGTATTAGCGATACAAAGCGTAAACCATACAAAATATAATAACAATTAAAAACTTCCAACAATAATAGTTTTAAAGTTGTCAAATAAATAACAAATATATTACTTAATCAGGTACCAAAATATAATATAATACAGCAAAAAGGAACATTGAAGTACCTAACTGCTAATTAAATGCCATAGAAATCAAATATTGCAAATAATACTGGTAATATGGTAAACATAATATATTTTCTTTTTTATTAAATCAAATAACTACCCTAAATTAACTATTCCCTAAACTAATAAACTGTGCTTTTTTGGAGCGAAAGGTGTGAATACAACAAATATTTACACCATAAAATAACAGAAACACATAAATAATCACACAACAAATTTAAAGTATTCAATAAATGAAATAGATTGATGTGCATATTGTTCAGATAACAACAGTAAATTTTCTTGCAATTGGTCATTAAAATTAAATAAAGTAGAATTACAAAATATATAAGTTTGTTTGTGTTATGGAAGAAACATCCTAAAGTATTCTATTTTTGCTTGTACTCTCTTCATACATTATTCAACAATCGGTAACAAAAAGCAGCTGGTTTTGGAATGTGTACGTTAAATATTATAAATGTAAAACTACTATTGCTAATGAATCTAATTCTCCTACACTATGAAGAGAAATCTTTCCTTAGAGTATTTGGTTAGAGTATAATTGTTAAATAAATATCATTAAACAGGACGAATAGACTTGTCATGGAAGTTCCCTAAAATACCTAAAACTCCTAATCCGACGAGATATAATCTGGTTATGTATGTAATCAATGTAATGTCTAATCCCCTAAACTAATGACTGGAGAGAAATGGAATTACAATCCACGGACATATCTCAATTAGCCTTGCTCGTCTTATAAAAACCTGGCACTAAGAAAGGCAGGACTACGACTAACATTGCCTTTCACAACCACTACAAGAGTTGCGGTAGAAGACAGGTCGGTGTTGAAGCTAGCTCTCAGAATGCTGACGGTTACTGGACTGACAGGTATCGGGGTTGCTTAAAACACCAGATTACCAATCAATTACAACTACTGTGTATATGACCATAGACAAAAAGAATGAAATATAGACCGTCAGCCGTGCTGCGATTGGCACAGGTTCTGGCGTCCACTGCTGGGAGCACCGTTTAGTTATGGCGTACGCGCTATGTAAATACCTGGCGCTCAGAACCTATGCTAATTGCAGCACGGCTGACGGTCTATTTAACTATTTTTGTCTATGATATGACCCAGTTAAAAATAAATTGTGAGGATAATCTGTTAATGACCAGTTTTAGTGATACACTAATCCAAACAAAGAGCAGAAAGTATAGATATGGAATCATCAAAGAGATCATGTCTCAAAACGCTTTTGTTGTTGGCTTCAAAAATCTATAGGCTTGTTTTTAGCCCAATTTATTATGAAAGTAACAACTATGAGATCATGTCTCAATAGGAGTTTGTTGTTGGCCAAAAACATCAGTAACCTGGTTTATAATCTAATTTTGAGCAAAGGTAGGCTTATAAATTAAGTCCCTGAACCCTAAAAAAAGATTACAATTTTCATAACTAATCCATATTTCTCTGATAAAAAAAAAAAAACATGATTAATAATTCTACTGGTCACAGTTAAACGACGAAAACTCATCCTCGCCGTTCATGGCACACTACAGAAATGAGAATGAAGGAAACCATCTTTCAGAAAAGAAATAGGGTAAACATAAACAAGTTAAATCGTATTTGTAAAAAATAATCTGTGCCCACTTATCTTGTACCGCAGACTCAACCTACGCTAAGCTACAGTCTACTATTCCGCGGCCGCAGGCACTATGTCGACAGACGGCAGAGGTATCAGCACTCCACAGAGATGTCCTTGGAGCCTTCGCCCAGCAGCGTGATGGCCGACCCGTCCCGCACGGCAGTAGTGCAGGGGTTGAACAGAGGGAACGCCGAGGGAGGGTTCTGTTTGGGAGCGTTGCTGAGCGCAGCCAACAGTGACTCTCCGTGGTCACACATAGGCGCTGTACCTAGGAACACCAACAGCGGGTCCAGGTCTCGGGGAAGAGCGTATCTGGAAACATCACAGAGTTAGTAGGATTTTGAAATGGACACGTAGAGATTGTACTGTAAATTTGTGTATACGAGTTAGTTGTATTTTCTGTTATATAGGGTCTCCAACGAGCACAAAGAATGGTCAAGTGAGCTAGTTTAAATTTAATACCAACATTCTAACCAGCCGATTTGAATTAAAATCCTTCTAAACACATAAAATACATACCATATCAAAAGTAAATTAAAATATTACCAAAAAATCGCAAAAGAAAATGTATAATAACTAGAGGAGTAACAGCCTAAAATTTTTTATCAAGCCGAGCTCTAGGTAATATTGAAATCATCTCCCTCGCTCGTAATCTCGATCGCTGTGAAATCCTGAATATCACCTGCGCGTGGACATCATCATCGTCCTCTAGGATCGCAGAAAATTCCAGAATATTCCCTGGGGTAACAGAAAATTACCTTTGTTTGCTGTGACAGAAGTAAAATCCTGAATGTCTCCTGCTGTTATGTGGAAATTTTTGTCTTTCATGGTCTCAGCAAAATAATAAACATCTCCTGCAGTCAAATAGACATTATCATCTCCTTCTACAATAGTGGCAAAATTTGGATCATCTCTGGCGGTGGTGTAGACAAAATCCTGAATACCCCCATCGGTCACGGAAACTTCATCATAGTCTTCCGGGATTCCAGCAAACTATTGAATATCACTGGCGTTCACAAGATCATCAGATCATCATTGTCGTCTTCCACGACTGCTGCAAAACCATGAACATTTTCCGCAGTCATTGTCATGATTTTCCACGATAACGCCAAAATTCTGATCATTGGTTAAGTCACAGGAACATTATCTTCCATTGAACATCTCCCGTGGTCGTATAGATATTACATTGTCTCCCGGGGTAAATAGAAAAGTTATTGTCGTCATCCACAATGGTGGCAAAATCTTAAATCTTTCAATCGTGCAATTTACGCAGACATATTGGGTATTGGTATAGGCATTGATTCCTGACAATGGATTCTTGATACGATTTACCAATGTTCAAAAGAATCGTTGGTATCGAGAATCGACACAAACCAAGTCAAAGATAATCATCCCGTAGGGGGAGGGGGGGCAGCTAGAATACTAGTGAGGGAAGTATTGAACATGGTGCTGATGTCAGATAGTGACTTACCTGGAGAGAGCCTTGGCCTCGTCAGGCAGAGTGTCCCAGGAGCAGCCAGTCAGCTGTACACTGACGGCTGGACACCTCGGCCGTGGCAGCGCCAGTCTGTACTGCAGCTGCTTCAGAGCGATCCTGTCCAGGTGGAGGTAAGTGTTGAGCTTGTGGGGCTGAGCCCCCTGAGGTCCTGCTGGTGATGCAAACACCAAGATGAAGTCTGCTTCGTTAAATGCCTTCATGTACCACCGAGTCGGGTCCTGCATAGACAAAGTCAGTGCTTAGTTATTGTGGTACAAATCTGCTGGTTAGTTTTGTTGGATGAGGTGTGTGAGCCTGAGATTTTTGATTGAGCCTAACTGTATATATACTGTAAGGAATTTAGCGTAGCCTAATGCCCTGTAATAAATTAATTTCTCACAAATCTACTTTTGAAAATTTAATTTAATCTTATGATATCTTTAGACATCCATTATTAAATTTAGTAATCATAAATTTTGTATAATGTAAATTTATCACAATGTCACAAGTGTACACCATCACCATCCCCATTCTCAACGATCCCTGGAAAATCGTGTATTGATCTCACAATCACACAAACATTCTGTAACGTTTTGTAAAAGCTCAGCTCAAGCTCGATTTCCAAACTTGATGTTCGATCTCTCAGGCTTGTAGGATAGATTTGGCTCAAAAATCGACTATCGAGCCACACACACACCACAAATGATGATACAAAACTCATCGCATAGGAGTTGAGACACTGTAGATGTTATTGAAAATTAATAAATAGTTGCTACACAGAAAACTCCTCCGACTAAGTGAATCACCAAATACTTGATAAGCTAATTTCAAAGCAACCAACATGAATAAATCCATTGAATAGATCCATTGAATAAATGCAGCTGACTGATTTTCCAGAGTAATAATTGTGATCAGAAGAAAGGCACATTTACCGCGGTTTGTCAATAAACTATTAAGTAATAATTATTCTTTTTAATGACTGACTATAAAAATATTAAGAGACAAAACCAGCGTTTGGACTGTTTTCTTGAAATATTGAGAGTTGAAGACTGGAAAAAGGCTTTTAACTTCATTCATGGGATGGCAACTATGGTATGGGAGAAGATAGAAATACTGTAATGACAATTTTGTTCTAAATCAACATTTACGAATTCCAAAGAGTTAACGATTTAAGATATCTAGGCGTTGTATCAGATAAAATACGAAAGACATATAAACTCAGAATAGGATAAATTAAGCAAAAAAGTTTTTATGCATTTGGAAAACTAATTAAAATAAAAGCTTTTTACCAAGGAAAACAAAAAATCTAATTTACAAATCAATAATTAGACCAGTAATTTTGTATGGAGGGGAAAATTCGATCTTTAGCAATGAACATGGAAAAGAAGATTATTTGAGAATAATGTTCTAAGAGCTATGTATGGTCCAGGGTGTGAAGATGGAGTATGGAGAAACCACCATAACCAAGAGTTACGAGAATTATTACGAGACCCCAATATTTGTAGGCGAGGCCAAAAACAGAGGGCTTAGGTGGGTCAACCATATCTTGAGGAGAAATGAGGAGAGCTTGTTGAAGATGGTACTAAAGGGAGATCCAAGGGGGAGGAGACCAGTAGGAAAACCAAAGGCCAGGTGGTGGGATCAAGTCCGGAAAGATATGGAAACAATGAGACTTGTAGAGGAAGATTCTGGGGTCTGAGAGAATTAGCAACGTTTTGGCAAGGCCAAGTACCAGCTTGGGTAAAAGTAGCTATGGCAGTATGTAAGTACCGTATGGCAATTATTATATTTAAAATTGAAGGTGGTTGCACACTTTAATGAGGGTTATCTATACAAAATGGTTTACCAATAAATTCAGGAGTCTCTTTAGTAATCTATTCAACCAACAATTAATTCTATTTCAGTGGTCTAATACCTTAGTTTCAGTGTTGGGTATAGCAAACAGGTCAAAGAGAGGGTCCAGATGACAAGACTTCTTGAGATAATGATGGAATTCTATCATCTCGTCTACGTGCTGGGGATAGTTGTGGTTGTATATCAGCAATACTTTGGGGGGCAGTCTCGGTTCATCACCTGGAATCAAAGTAATAACGGTTAAATGTGTTTCCCTACCCTTATATGTGTTTCAATAAGTGTTGGCATTAACTATTGGATACTATAGTAGTCATCTCCGTCTATATGGACCAGCTGTCACCTATTTGTACTAAAAAAGAACATAGTTGTGTGAGCCAGTCACAGAATGCGGCAGTGTATAAAATTCTATTTTCTACCTTATCTTTTGTTGCTGACATAGTTGATTGGTCATAACAGTTGTATTGCTCATAATAAGTCGTTCTGTCAGTTTGACTTGGTAAAAATGTGTTTGACATAAATTTGTAATTTAGATCAGCACAATCTTTTAGTGGCTCGCATCAACTATCGTACCACCCATGGTGAGTCAGTTGGAAGAGTTGTTTAAGCGCTTAAATAAATGCTCGGGCGCCTTGGCTATGCAGGAGTTCCGCATACATTTGAATAGTAATGGAAGCCGCTGTTGTCAAAAATATAGAACACTGAGGCGCATATTACATTCTGGGACCTTATATATGCAACTAGGTCTATGCACTGGGATTCAATAATTTTATGTGAGGCACTATTTTTTTGGTGAGTCGGTGGCTCAGTTGGTAGGGGACTTCGGACCCAAGGCAGCGATGTCGTGGGTTGGGATCCTGGTCACTGCCACAAACATTTTATCAGTACCGGCTCACCTCTTGCTTTGCTGGATACGTTCCACGCACAGATCTGTAGTCTATATGGACGGGCAAATGCAAGGTTAAAAGAGACCTCTTAAAAAAAAAAAAAAATCTACTTACTACTCTGCTATTTGAAATAAAAGTTTGTTTTGTGACTTACCAGTTGGTTTCTGTGCACAAGACCTTCTCCAGATGAAGTACGCAGTGAGGAAGACAGGGATGAGGATGACTGTACCCACGATGCCGATGAGAAGCGGCATCTCAGGACTGGCGACTGTCAAACACCATTACACTTTAGAGAAACACCTTCTCAGAGTACAAGATGGTTGTAATTTGGTTTATTTTAACACTCTCTCAAAGTCGACACAATTCAACAAATCTCATGATACAGGTTCAAAATTCTAGTCTGGATTTGAAATTGAAACTTTGAATCTCATAATAAACCCCTGTTTACCTGAGGCACATGTTTTTTGTTTAAGGCAGTAAGCAAAAATGTATTTGAACAAGCCTCACGAGAAATCAGCACAGCATCTCGGTATTGTCCATAGTACCCGTTACTATCAATGAGACTATTATTGCTTGTAGTGCCAAGTATGAACAGCAGTCAGTAATTAATTCTTGTGGTTTGGGAAGTCTACCATATAGTTGCTGTATTCAAATCCTTCCTCTGTAGGTAGATATCAACAAAAAAGTAAAGCGCAAGGACGTAGAAAATTACATAAAGTGGTTAAGGAAGGTTGCAGCAATGCCGTACACATTTTCAAAACACTTAAAAGTTTATGTAGCACTTTCCAGGTTGGTTTAAGAGCATCAAAAATTAAGAAAAAAATAATAAATATAAATATCCTAAATTGAGATACACTTAAAAGAGTAAGCCAGCCTTAATTACTTCCATGTACATGTGATTAATCAGAGATCACATATGAAATTGTGAATATAAGAAACAAATTAAATTCTGAATCAATTCTACTTTAAAATAGCTTTTGAATCTCTTTACAGTAGGATCCCTCATATCCAACCATGACAGGACCAGGGCAAGGTTGGAACGGCCAAAATCGGTAATTGTCTTCGCAACGGCGGCAACAACAGGGCAACACCCGTTATCGGCCACAGTGGCGATTTTCTGCCGTGATCACGTCAACACCCACCATCGGCTTTTCGGTTAACCTATCACGCTCAGTGTTATCGCCCACAGAACAAGTAGACGGCAGACACTAGGTCAGATATCCCGAGGAGTCGGTTATTCTGAGGTCGGATATGAGGGGTTCTACTGTATTGTGTTAGAAGCCTGAACAGAACTGTTTTAGAAACAAGGTTAGGCTTACAGGCTGCAACATTTGAACTATGAAAATCACACTGTCATTAAACAAGGTCTGGACCCCAGTCTCTTTGATAACCTGACCTCTCACCAACATAGTTATTTCTAAAACTCTTACCACACACTCATTCAACAAGAAAGAATGTTCTTGTGTATATTTATACAACAGTAAACTAACAATTAGGGGTGGACAGATCTCAAAATTTTGAGAAATTTTCGGGAAATTCTAAATCTTGTTCTACAGCACAATATGTTATTTTGATCAAGATTTTTTTGAGAAGAGATTATAAAAAACAACAAAAAAACAGTTAAAAACACTTTCAGAAAGTCAATGCAATGCAATACATTAGCACGTTGTTGTTACGTTTCCTTTGTGAATGTGTTCTTATTTAATTAATTCTACATGCAAATAATGTTTTTAAACATTATTAAACATGTTATTAAACATGTTAATTAAACATGTTAGGTTGTACATGTAAATATTGCTTTAACTGTTTTATAATTTTTTCTTTTGACATTGTAAATGATGGGAAGTTTTGTTAAGTATAAGTGTAAGCAGTGTAAAACATGTTTTACTACTGTAAACATAGCGAAGTCGCTCCAAAATCATTCTATAAATAACACAAGACTGAAAAATTGTCACTTGATACTTAACTAGTAGGACTGAAATTTTAGACTGATAAATTTGGTATTACGATCGTAATTTAATACTTAACTAGTAAGACTGATGTTTCAGACTGATATTGTATTTTTCAATGTTGAACCATCTATCCTAACTGATATCACCATGTTTCCTATGCGTAATAGTTATTTTTGATAAGGTTTTTTATACATCTTTTATAACAAATTTGAAATATTCCTGCCTATTATTATTATTTTTGTAGTTAACCAGTCATCTGTCATAAATCAGTAGGTATTTTACAATGTTACAACATCAGATTAAAATGTCAAACGTGCATTTCCGGTTATGTATGAGAAGGGAAATCCCGTCTCAATCTCGTCTCGAACTAAAAATCCAATCTCGTCCATCCCTACTAACAATACTACAGAAATTATATACTGACTTATAATATACTTATATAGGTGGTAAATGGAAGGTGTATGTGTATGTGAAGTGTATATGTGTATGCTCTGCTACTTTCAGGGGGGGAAAACCTTAAAAACCACACCACAAGTTGCACAACATTCGGTCACATACCTATCAGCACCTCGGGTGCCCTAGACAAAGTGCAAGGGTTGTGTTCGGTGCAATGGGAGTGCAGGGGCAGAGCTGTAAAGTTGTACACTCCCGGTTTGTATTCAGAGTCATACTCTACGGTGAGCACGGTGTCCACGGGGGTGTTGGGGGGAGTGGTCAGAATCTCTGAGTGGACGACCCAGGAGTTGCCGTCGGGCTGGCGGGAACTGCGCCACAAGTGGACACGGTACCTGCAACAAATACAAACATATAGTGGACTCCCATCCCGAAAGAATTAACCACACAAAAAAATAAATATATTGTGCAAGTTAAATGTACGTTATGACAACCAAGGTTTTAACGTGAGGCCCATCATCTTCCAGGCAGAATATAAAGTTGGCATTGTTTACCTCAGTGATAAACATTGTTTACAAACCAATGAAATGATAAGTTTCAATTTGTGTCTATTTTAGTTTTTGTTATTACTAGACATATGCTCTGCAGTATTGTTTGTTTGAAGTGTGTGAAACAAAGTTAAATTGCATTTAAAACGTTTCATTATTACCTAAACCTGTTATTAAGTATTGACTATAGGTTCAAAGTCAATCTTAGTTGTTTCACAGGAATTTTAGGTTAGGTTCGCATTATCCATGATTTTATATCCACGGTCACTTAGCCACTCATCATCGTGGTAGGTCAGGAATATACTGTGCTCCATTAAAAGTTAACAATGTAACATTCTTGGCAGTTTTAGTAGCACGATTCATTCTAAAAACATCGGCCTCTGCAAAGCTTTGATTTAACTTTTTTCTTCCGCTTTTTTAACTACTTTAGCAACTTCGACTATAAAAATCATTGAGTCAACAAATTAAAAAAAAATTGATCCATAAAACGCATGAAAATGCAGAAAGTGACTACACTGTGGGCACATAAAACCCACATTAAATGGAATAGTTTTAGTGTAAGCAAAAGACTTCAGTAAAAATGTCACCACTGGTGCTGTTATCGCCAGTTGGTGGTCCTCCTCAAGAATCTTAAAACATACAGATAATAAAGCAAGCCAGCACGGCATAATGTCAAAAACACTTTCAGAATTACCAAAAACAAACCTTCCAGTTGTTTAGATTTTGATCATTTATATTTAGTAATGGCGTTTAAACAGAGGTTATGATCAATTACACAATGTTTAAAAGAATGTATTTACCTAGTTATATTGTAATGTGGAGGAGCGACTTGAATTCGCAATCGTATGACCGGAAGAGCAGAAACATCAACCACCATGAACAGTTGGTAGTCGGCCATGTGAACTGTAGGCACTGCAACATAATTGGGTAGTCTTAGTCTTACCTCAAATAATGTAAGGAATTCTTGCTTTTACTTAGCCCTTATAACTTGAATCACTAACTCGTAGATAAATTAAAATAGCCGTAGGAACAAAACAGCTGTTGATAAAGCCAATGTGATATTCCAATACCTTAGCTGTAAAGCTGCGTTTACAAGAACATAGAGGATACGCGTCCGGTAACCGGACGTGGATAAGGCGTACGGCAATGACGTCATGGGGTTGCGGGAGCCTGGAACGCCTTTACCACAACAATACAATGACCAGCCATCGGTGTTCGTGGTGTAGTGGATAAGGTGCTCGGCTGATATGCAAGAGGTCCAGGGTTCGAATCCCATTGATGACTTTAACTTTTTGTCGAAGAGTTTTGCATTGAATACCATTTATTCTTAACTGTACATCTTTTATTAGAATTTTTGGCATTTATAATTTTTTTTATAGAGAAAGAATTTCACCTTAATTCGATTTTTTCACTATCAGCAAGTTTGGTTGGTTAGGTTAGGTTATGACAGTAATTGCCGGACGTCTAATCCACGTCCGGTTACCGGACGCGTATCCTCTGCCTTACAAGAAACCAGTAGGCGAGCGAGTCACCTGCCTCAGGTAGGCCTAACAAAGGTAGGTAACCTACTTACTTGTCTGTACTGGCCTTACGTCAAACACGGCTTTACAAATAGTTTAGCCTAACCTGAAGGTTTCTTCTGAAAGTCCTTGGGTACAAACTGGTTATTTTGCTTGTCATCTATAAGACTTTATAGTTCACCGCTACATAAAAACAACTTCAAAAGATGACACAGTTTTTTTAGGCATTAAGTTGGAGAAAATGATATAGAACACACATAAAAATACATACTATATATACAACTACTTACTTCTCCGTCGTCCATTAGGGACGAAAAACGCATAGTTGAAAGCTTGGGGGTTTCCAAACCAAGGAGTGGCAATGTACTGGAACTGGTAGATTTGTCCTTCGTACGATCTGTCAGACCAAAGACAGTCGAAGTAGAGCACTGCGTCGTCTGCATGCCGACTCGGCATCTCAAACTCACGACAAGCCTCTGGTAGCGGAGCCAGCTCATCCCTTCCCATCGACTTTCTCACGAATCTTATCCTGGCTTCTGTAAGGAAAAGTGCATTGGTTGTAGTGAGGTGGCATTAAATTGACTCAATTACTCATAATTTAATAACCATGGTTTTTTGAACATTTATAAACTAGGAATATAATGAGGAGGTGTGAAATTCAAAAATAGTGACTCAACCTTTTGAGTGTTGTTTTTATACTGATTCAACTACCAAGTCTTTTTTTAGGTTTGTTTATTTATCTTATTATATAAAAACAGGGAGCGCGCTGGTCTAGAGGTAGAGCGTCGGGTTTCAATGCCCGAGGTCCCGGGTTCAAATCCCACCAATCACTAATGGATTTCATCTATGTGATAATGCTACAAACAACACTCTAAGACTAGCCTGAATTAATGTACGCAAAACAGTTCTGGGCGTTCTTTCGGACCAAAGACTAAATTATTATTAACAGTACTATACCAAACAAGTTATCAGTGGATACAGACAAACAGACAAAGGATAAATCAAAAGTTGCAAAGCCTACTGGATTAGCGGTACAACTCATAAAGGACCCAATATCCCGTCAACTTTCACCTCCACTAGGCACTTACATCGTCGACCAGTAGAGGATCAAGGGGGGGCGGGACGAAGGCGGGAGACCAACCCCCCTCAGGCATATTTTTTTACCGCATGTACTGTCAAAATGTTTCCGCAATCGTCGAAGACGATGATGATGTTCCGTTACTATCATCCGAAGATGGCAACGAACCAACTTCAGGGTTTTTTGAGAATTTTCTCAACAATTATATCAATGAGATCATGACGCAAACCAGCGTCGAAACCTTGGTTACAGTTTACAACTATTCTGAGGTTCGAACAAAAATAAAGGGTAAATAAACCACTACAATATTAGTCTTACCAGTTCAGGGGTAGCCACAAAAATGAGTAAAAAGTATGTAGTAACTTCCAGTGAAGAATACTTATACTTAACTTTTCTGATCTAAAGATACATTCTAAAACATTCCATATTTCTTAGACCTAGCTAGACTTACTTGACCATTTTATTTTGGTAAATGAAATGTTAAATGCAGTAATGGGAAGACCATCTTCAGTGTCGGTAATCAGGTAAGATATGATTTTCATGTCTCCGATCTCTTCTGCCATATCATTGTCCCCTTTGAAGGCAGAAGATTGACAAGCTGAAACAATAAGACAGTTGTTAGTAAAACTGTTTCATACAGTTAGGTTGTATCATGCTTTAAACAACAATTAATGTCTGTTCTAAAATATAAGTTTATTTAAGCAAAAATGAATGAAACTCGATAAAACATGCAAAAAAGTGTCTTAGGTAGGCCTACTTATTTGGAAAAGGTGGTTGACGAACATGAATACATAGCAATCTAAAACCTATTGTCTTGCGGGTTTTGCAAAAAGTTGCATGTTTGGTCATAGCCTAACTTGTTTGTTGTTCAAGTTCAAATTCTAAAAAAGTTTAGTTGACAAGTAAAATCCTAAATCAGAAACCGGTTTTGGAAAAAATACATTCTGTGGCACTTCTTTTTTTTAAAGGTGCTCTAAAACAATCCCGGGTAATCTACATTCCCGCAGAGAACCTATATTATCTGATGAATAACGATAAATATCAAAATATACGGTATCGATATTTATCTGGTTCAATATTAATATCGCAATGATTTTAATTTTATGATGATATAAATAAAAACCACATTAACAAAGCTTTTTATTCCTTAGTTTCCACTTAAAAATTTAAGATTAAAAATTGAAGAAATGGTTTTTAGGTTTTTAGTTCATATTTCTTAATATTTTTATTATTACTTTATGTTTTGGTTATTGCTTGTTTTGTTACTTTTCATATAATAAATTGTGTTTATGTTTTTATATTGATAATTTTTTTTATTAAATATTAATCAAAACGTAAACAAACCAATTTTGAAATTGATGGTTACAGTAGAAAAAAATTATATAGGCCTAATTGATATTATATCGAACCAAGCAAGTTTTGATATATATATCATTATTCATCCGATAATATACCGTAGGTTCTCTGCGGAAGTCTAGCCCAATCCGGGGACCAGGCTAGTACTAAAGTCCTGTAGTTATGTCATTTTAAAGAAATAATATTTTGTTAAGCGTGGATGTTTAAAAGCAATCAAGTTCACAAATAGCTACCTACTAATATAAAACAAAAAAAATTTAAGATGAAACTGACAAAAGTAATGTTAATTTACCTTCAGAATCTCTAGGAAAGTAAGTGATCCTGCAGAAATCATCAGAGTCATTTGATGCTACCTGAAAACATGTTTCTTTTCGTGAAATTTATCTTTCTCAAGTTAAGAGATTATTACAATACAATGAAACAAAACACAATGCATGTTACCAGATAGGCTACTACTCTCACGAAGCAAGTGATTTGCTTAATTTCTTAATAGCAACATAAACAACAACAAAGATGTAAGTTAATTTACGTCAATGTATTCTAATAAATGTATTCCAGTTATTATGCACCACCATTAAGTTTTAAATTGATCACATCTATCTTTCTTTCCACGTGGAATAGCATAAACAAAATTTAAGATATCCATTCACATACTTGGTTTTTGTATGGTAGGCAGAGGTTGAAAAGCAACGCCAATACCTTAGCCTACTTAATCCAAATCAAACTTTATAAACAGCCAGTATCTTTTGATTGCAGTAATTCTGTTTGAACTGGGGCCAAAAAACTTTGAGAGAATTTCCCAGTAAAACTATGAAAATTAAAATAGTTTAGGGCCAGGGGAAAAGTTGTCGGCCTAGTATAAAGAAATCCAACCTAGAATGCTATTTGAATAAGCAAGAAAGTTTTAAAACTGCGAATAGTTTTTATGAAACTTTAAGCAGAACAATTTAGACAGGGGGTTATATTTCAAATAGATTTTTTTTATTTATGCTTGAAGGTTTGAGGGGGTAGCGGATTTTTATCCCTCTGGAATTTCACCCCCTGGGCAAACGTGACGTCACAAGTGAACTTTTGAGTTTCGCGTCATCAGCTCGATAGATTAAACGCGGAATTAAACATATATTTTCACGGTTGTGAATTTAATCAGAACACATCAAATTATAAAAACCTAGAATGTACGGCCCGGATTTTTATCCCAGAATTTTACCCCCCAGATTTTTACCCCTGGATTTTTACTCCCGGATTTTTACCCCCCGGAATTTTACCCCCCGGATTTTTACCACTGGAATTTTACCCCCTGGCCATATATAAATTAGTGAGAATGATTAATTATCTTCATTCAGTTTAATTTTAACAGTAAACATTTTATTATTAAGTAGCCTATCTTAATTTATTTGTAACATTAACTAATCAAACAGGTTATTAATTTTAATTTTGAGATTCGAGTATTAGGATTTGATCTTTGAAGCCAACTGTTGGTTATGATCAAAATAAAACAGCGAATTCTGTTTACTTAGTTGAGATTACAAAATAAATAAATAAAGGTAGGGTACTAAATAATGAAATGTTTACAATTAATTAATAACAGAAATAAGAAAATCAATCATTCAATTTCTAAAACCAGCCAGTGGGTAAAATTCCGGGGGTAAAATTCCGGGGGTAAAAATCCGGGGGTAAAATTCCGGGGGTAAAAATCCGGGGGTAAAATTCCGGCCCGTAGCCTACATCTTCAGTTGTCTAAACGCTAGTTATATGGACAGGGGGTAAAATTCCGGTTTTTATTACTAATCATATTAATCACGCTCTGACTATTTTCATTAGACTTCCAAATCCGCGGGGGTGAAATTCCGGCCACGACTAAACTTTTGGCCACTCAGGTTACTAGCCTACGTCATCATACTACGTCAGCTTTGCCCAGGGGGTAAAATTCCAGGGGTATAAAATTTCGGCGACCCGGTTTGAGATGTGGTTAAGATATTTTGTCAGTACATAATTACAATTTCCTTTGAACAACTTGACATGAAATCAGATTTTGGGACATTAAGATATTTGGATGGTCTGTTTGAGCTTGACATTGACTTAGGAGGAAATAATGTTGTTTGTATCCATAAGTTGGGTATTTTGTCTATTTGCTTTTAATTTTAATTAGATGAAAACATACTATTTACATTTTAGATTAACATAGTAGTTACATTTAAAAGAAATTGGAAGTTGCATTTTATAAATATTGTATGCAATTGTGTAACTTCTTTTTTAATCCATACTGTGGTTTTCAGCATCAACCGCGTCTGCGGTTATCCAAACTGATGTTGTGGCCAAAAACCACCACCATGGATTCTAAAAAAAGCAGCCGTGAAAGCACACAGAACTTAAGTATTTTGGAATTTTTCTGGAGATCTATAGACTGGAGATTCTATTAGGCAGTTTTTCATCCCTACCCTTTCTTCCATCGATAGGCCTCCCTACTTTGAAATAGACTAATTTAAAATAGGCAAGCAGACATATGAATTGGTAGCTGTACGTTAAATCATTTTCATGTTTTGTTAAATAATGTACAGTTTAATGTTCACAATTTGAAGGGTTTTACAAGAAAAATTACGTGTTACCAGTGATGTACATAGGCTACACAAAGAACGATTCCCTACGCAACTACAGCAATACCCAAAATTCAAACACTTGATGATGAGTATTCAGGTAAAAGGTAAAGAGAAGTGGCTGTTGAGTTCATAAGATGCCACTGTATATTGGCTTAAGGTCGAAAGAGAGAAAACAACAGCTGTTGAGATTCAAGTTAAGTTATTCGATTGTGAAACTTATCTCTCTTATTACGGTTTAAGTTACCCATAACTCATTAACTTACTTTTCTACTAATTACTTTTCTTGGTTACGGTATACCATTGATTTCCTGTCCGTATAATAAATCTAATAACTAGGCTATCTTACCTTTGTAGGCCTAATATACAAGGCATATTTAACAGCACAATCATTTTGACCTACTGAGTAAGTTAAATATCATTTCTCTTGATTACTTTTCCATTTAAATTCAACATATTTTGAAACATAGGCCTAAATAGCATTAAATTGAATCTTGATGCAAATAAATACATTAGTTAGAAAAGAAGAACACTTATTAGGGAGCTAAATTAATTTTGAACTAAGTTAAGCCTATCTTGAGATGAGTATGCCTATGAAGTCTTATATTAGTGGCCCAAAGGAACTAAGTTAGGTACCTGATGTGCACATGAAGAGCTGTGGTTTTCACACATATAGGGTTCCAAAAATAAGTTGTTTTCAAATTCATTGCAGAATATACTCTCAAAACAAGTTGACACTAAAATTGTACATAAAATAATTTCAACCCAGAACGATTTCAGGACTCCCACATTGAAGGTTTTAGAACAGCACATATTTGGCACATATCATTTCACAGTGAATTTAAAGTAAGATAAGACTGACGAATAAGGAGTCAGAATAAAACTGAAGTGTAGAATAGTTTATAAAGAGAAGCATTCATAATTCAAGAGTAGTAATTCACATATTTGTAAAGATAATGATAAAGTAGAAGATCACTCTTCATTCTCAATAGACAAAAAAGATAATTAGCAGGAGCAGACGATGCGTACTTCACAAACAAGAAAAAGATATTCTGTATTGTTCTTTTGTTTTTATTGGAATCAGCTGCAATGCATAGAGTATTCTTTATGCTCAAAATTTGTAATACGTATTGACAACTGTATAATATTAATTTAGGCAAGCATGTTTCTTTAAAACATTTTTTATCAGCTCGTGTGTATCGCAAGGAAAATCCACGCATACTTTTGGAAAGGTACTTTCCTGTTTATGTGCAGAATCCTTTCATAAATTAAAATAGACTAAAAAATAAGCACAAAAATGAAATTAAGATAAAAAAAATAACATGGTGTTACGAGTTGCCATGCTGGTGACAAAAACAACTCAATATAAACAGAAAATCAAAACAAATGGAAGAAATTACTTTCGCAGGAGAGACTATTTTTTTTCTAAGCTGCAATCAGTTCAATTTGTATTTAATTACTAACATAGATAAAACATACTCCCTTAGTCTATGTTACTAATTAATGCATACATTAGTTATCATCTACAGGAGTGTGTAGGCAAAACAAACTTTCTTCAAGATGCATTGTTATTTTTAAAAGAAACCTTGTGTTCATTTCACAAAGACAGCTGGGTGCTGGGTCTAAACCATCAAAAATAGTTAAAAAAAGTTAATAGGTTTACCAACAGGGTGCAGTACTATAAACTTGTTTAAATTTATGACAACAGCTAATTTGCAACTAAAAGGTGAGTGAGCGTAGCGAACGAACTTCAACTGGAGGCGAGTTAGCGTAGCGAACGAGCTCCAACCTAAAGGTGAGTGAGCGTAGCGAAAGAACTTCAACCAGGACGTGATTAAGCCATACGAACGAGCTCATCTTGAAACGAATGAGCATTTGACATAAAACCACATTATGACAGGACGACGTCTGTCGGGCCAGCTAGTTACTTTTATAAGCACTAGAGCACTTATATACTCTCAGCCTGTAAGAGCACAGATGTAAGAGAAGAGAGTATAATTGATTAATCGATGCTTTAATAAAACCACCAATAATAAATTAATATGATTTAACTTTTTATAAAAAAACTGTGAATTCTAAATTCAGCGAAGATAGTGTTTCAGCTGTTTTCTCCGAACCTGTAGCAAACGTGAGTAAAATCAGACGAAAAATGACAAAGAGGGTGAACACAGCTGTTTCTCTATGCATTCGTGCTTTCTGCTTTCGCTTTGTCAAATAATTTTTATTTTTTAAGGTTATGATGTTGTAAAACATAAACCGTCTTATGTAATAAATAATCATTGAAGATACAAGACGTTGGTTTTTTTTACTAAGACTAAACTGCTGAAAACAAAGTAAGTAATATTGTAAGCAATGTAAACTATTACTAAAACCATTTATTTTAGGGTCTGTCAGTGGGACCTTCCAAAATATTATTCCTGTCACTACTTGATTAAATAACTATTTAAAACACGTTTAAAACCAATGTTTACACCAACAACCTAAAAACTATATTTTTTTGTTTACAGTACTTTTGATTTTGTCCAGAGTTTTACAACATGATCTCCAAATCTCAACTCACAAGTACAATTTTTACAAAACTGTCTCTACAATTGCATAATGTATAGGTAACTTACTGTATAAAAAAAACAATTTTCACCATTAAGTTACATACTTTTTAACTCATTTCTATTGCTAATAATTGACTGATAAGAACCGTTTTACTTATATTAAAATCACAGCAATGTTGTCAGCTCCGGCACAAGTGGCGAGTTTCATGAAAGTCTCATGCAATCACAGCAGCATCAAGATATTACATCCACAATAATTTTACATAAGTTAGGTAGGTACTTACTTATATTTTCGTCACAAAAGTTTCTTAGCACCCCTTAAATGAAAAGCTGCGAGGAAAAACTACACTAACTTATTTATGGTTCTATTAGGTTTGCTGCTATAACTTAGGGCATACATGAAGATTTGTAATTGACACATTATTGTAGAGCTAGGAATTCCTGTATAGGAGTGAAAATTTAAAAACGTACGTTTTCAGGAAAAGCACTTTGCAAATTTTTTTCCCCTTTTTTCAAAACTTTTATTATTTTTTTATTTCATTACCATTTGAAGTTTCATAAAATGTCCATGGTAACGCAATATGTTTGGTAGTTTCTTTTTAAAAGAGCATCTTTAGTGGAAAAACACAAAATCCTGTCACGACCATAACGGACGTTTTAAAAATGAATATTAAAAATAGAAAGTAGCTTTTTATGTTTCAAAAGCCAAAACTAGCCCCATCTGTCAATGATATTGGGCTAAAAACATTAAAAATAAGTAAATCAGATTTTGGGACATTAAGATATTTGAATGGTCTGTTTGAGCTTGACATTGACTTAGTAGGAACTAATGTTGTTTGTATCCATAATGCTATTTAAGGTACTCGTCATGGGACAGCGCTGGCTATTGGACATCGTGCAACTGGCAGTGGCTTTATACATAGTGCAACTGCTTCATTATTAAGAGTGTAAAGTGTGTTGTTCTAGACGACCAATCTCATGACGTCCAGAGCTTGTGGAAAGACTATGTTTATTTCAGTTACTGTACTTTTGGACATAGTAAAATATGGACGTCATGCAACAGTTAAATATTTTATATTAGGAGTCATGAAACAGCTCAACAATTTTATTTTGTACGTCCTGACACTGACTTATATCATTGGACGTTGTGCAATGCGTTTCAGCCACGTTTTAGCTATTGTTATATAAAAACAAAAATATGTTCCGTAATCCGACATATTTGATATCCGATATGATCTGTATTTGGAGTATTTGACATTGGTACGTAAAAGTCTATTATTGTCTCAATAAATTAGTTCAGGGCCTGAAACATGAATTTTGATATAACTTATTCTTAGACTGTGGCACTCTGTGGCTAATAATAAACGTGGCTGTAGTTCATTCATCTTGCATTCATAATCTCTTCAAAATATGCACTTGTGTAATTAATGGGTTTCTATCTCAAAAGTAAAGTGAATGCTAATGTGAATGACTTATCCCCCACTGTTCCATTAATACTTAAACAATTATAATAAAACTGTCTTAATACAAACTCCTTTTATTGTTTCAGAAGACAGCACTGAAGAATGGGTTGGAAGATGGAAGTTGGTAAAATGATGCTTTACATGGCTTTCCCATTAGCTACTTTTCACTACTTCAACCAGCCTCAATTTTATGAAGAATGGGTTGTGAAAACTAAAAGAGAACTTTATCCTCCTGAGTCGGAAGAAGTTAACGAAAAGATTAGAGCACAATTACTCGAACTAAGGCGTGAGCGAGAACTCATTGAACTCAAAAAGAAGGAGGCCCAACTAAAGTAAATCGAATGGTTTGTGTTTTAGTGTGAAGACTTGTGACTCTTTTGTACATAATAATGAAATAAATAATTTATAGTGATATTGTATAGTATGTTCTGAACATGTGTAATTAAATTTGTATTATATTATTCACAAGCACTTCATTTAATTTTCCTCAGAAAATGACTTGGTTGAATCATAAAACTGCCTTAAACCTATAATTTTTTGTAAAATATATTTATGAAGACTGTAATTAATTTACATTGACTTAAATAAATGGATGCAAAAGAGGATGAATGTTGTAGGTTTTTAGTCTAATGCAGTGAAAACCTTTGGTACAGTTTGAAAGTATTTGTATGCATTCTATGTTATAAAATACTATTGTTACAAGTTAAATAGAATGAAATGAAAAGAATACTTTACTGGAAGAAACTTTTATAATGTACTAAATTGGTCAAACTTATTTACTGAATAATTAATGAAGAACAGAAAACCATATGTAAAACAAAAACATTTGAATTCTCATAAGGAAGTCAAAGAGTACTAAATATAATAAACATAGTCCAATAGTTATTATATGCAACACTCCCCCTACTCAAGGCTTCCTTAGAGACTTCATAAGAACGTTAAGCCAGTCCAATTTTCTGTCTTGAAACCTTCAACCTTGCTAGTTGTTCACTTGTGTCAATTTTCTTCACTTCAAGGTTTCCTGCTGTCACTTGTTCTCGAATGAAAAAGTTTTTTTTTTCAATGTGTTTGGTTCATAATGTGCGTTCCCCATAACGGCATTCATCGCAAAATCTTCAAAACGAATGGGCTGCCTTACCATAGCTCTATCTCGGAGTTGGCGAGTTTGCACAACGTTTTCTTCATGTTGTTCTGCTTCCTCGTCTGTCAATTTATCTTCTTCCGATTCATCTCAGGAAAGAGAATGGGGACATTTTCTACTACAGGGGCTGAACAGTTCTCATCTTTTGCTTCATCGGGGACTTTTTCTTCTGAAGATATAGGCCTATTTACTATGGATTCACTAATAGGCTCTTTCAAAAATTTTACATCCCTGGACCGAATGACAGTACATTTCCATGAAGAGACGATATCCATCATTACCATCATATCCAATAAGTTTGCATTTCATCGCTTTCTTGTCAAACTTACGTCTTCTCTGCTTTGGAATATGGACAAAACAATCTGTCCCGATAACTCGTAAGTGTTCTATTGCAGGTCTTTTTCTAAACCATAATTCATATGGAGCCTTTCCGGCAACTGATGACTTAGCAGTTCTGTTCAAAATATAGGATGCAGTGTTTATCAATTCGGCCCACAAGCCTTGAGGCAGATCACCGTGAGCATGCATCATTGACCTTGCACATTCAACTATGGTCCGATTTTCTCTCTCTGCAGATCCATTCTGTTGTGGTGTGTATAGCATTGTGATCAACTGTTGTATTCCATTCACTTGAAGGACTCGTCTAATACTTTCATTGTCAAATTCACCTCCTCCATCACATCTCAACTTACATATTACATGACCTGTGACTTTGACTTCTGCAAGAAACTGCTTCAGCTTCTCTACAACTTGAGATTTTGTCTTCATAAAATAAACACTGCGGTAGCGAGTAAAGTCATCCTTGAACAATACAAAGTACTTTGAACCTCCAATCGACTCAAAGAAAGGTCCACAAACATCAAAGTGAACGATTTCGCCAGGTACTGAAGCTCTGTGTTCATCTCTGCTTCTGAATTGTGTCCTGTGCATTTTCCCATAAGCACATCCTTCACATACCTCATTGTCAAGCTTGAGATTAAGGTTCAGTTCTCTTCTTGCAAACTCTTGTACATGAGTTTTGCTTTGATGTCCTAGTCGTTCATGAAGTAACTGCAACTGATTAACAGCTGGAACTCCTTCCATAACAGCCATGAGGTCTACTGATTTTCTTACTGCTAATTTAAACAAGCCTCCGCCTTGACTTCGATGTCCTTTGATGAGTGGTTTACCATCTCTATCAAACAAAGTGCAATCCTTGGATGTCGATACAAATTTACTATTTACATTTAAATCTTGAGCAGCGGTTACTGAAAATAGGTTTGCAAAAATACCAGGTACATACCATTCATTGGTTAGCTTTACTGTATTCCAAATACCATCCAAATTTGCTTCCATGCAAATTGTTCCTCTACCAATAGCACTTGTCTGTTGTCCATTTGCCATTGTAACTGCATGAGGTAACTCAAATTGTTCAAAGTCAGTAAACATTTCCCTACAATGTGTAACATGGTTGGTAGCACCACTGTCCACGTACCAATCATGTGATGCGGTAGTATTCTGGGTTTGAAAAACACAATTACTTAATATGGTTAGTGCTGCTTGTTTGGATTCTTTTTCCAAGCTTTTCTTTTCAGGTTTTCTTTCAGGTTTTCCATCCGCTATCCATTTCTGACACTCTTGCAACCAATGTCCTTTCTTGTGACAATAGTGGCATGGAAACTTTTTCTTTTTATCATTGTTTTTGCTGTTTTTCTGTAGACCTACTTGCCTTCTGTTACCTTTGCCTTCTTTAGATCTATTGACCGCCATTAAAGCTGTATCTTCTTTGTCTTTTTCCTTTAAGGTCAACTTTCTTGCTTCTGTACACAGCCAATTTGTAAGATTGTCAAGGTTTCTCGCTTTATCCTTGTGAATCATTAACCAAGTTGTCTGAAAGTTGGAATATTCTGCTGGTAGGATTTCAAAAATCTTGCAAATCAACAATATCTGAGGTAAACTATCTTCTTTCTTGTCTTGAATTTTCTTAATTTCTTCTTGAAGCTTTGCCCATAATGACTTGATTGCAGATAGGTTCCCAGCCATATCCAAGTGTTGATCCCATTTGTAGGTGAAGAACTGAGAGCATATATCACAGGCTTTATTTTCCTCTATTTCCGCAAATAGATTATGCAGCTCCTTCCAAACCTCATCTGGTTTTTCTAGGTTTCTTACCTGAGCTCTTACTTCCTTACTTAATGAAGATGCTAACATAAACATTACCTCTGACTGTGTTTTGTTATACTTACTTATCCATCTTCATTTTGTATTCTTTCATTTCTGCAGCTTGTGTTTCATCTTTAGGTTTCTCTGGCAATTCCATTTTACCAGAAATGGCTTCGTATGCATTTGGGATTCCTTTAAGCCTAATTTGCATTAGATATTTCCAATCATCCCAGTTGTCTTTTCCATGCAGCAATTCCATTTTCTGCATAACAAATTCCATACTAAAGATTTGATCTCAAGCAATAAATTATTCTATTTAAAACCTGTAACACACAATATAAGGGTGTCTGGGCCCATAACCTGTTATAAAATACTATTGTTACAAGTTAAATAGAATGAAATGAAAAGAATACTTTACTGGAAGAAACTTTTATAATGTACTAAATTGGTCAAACTTATTTACTGAATAATTAATGAAGAACAGAAAACCATATGTAAAACAAAAACATTTGAATTCTCATAAGGAAGTCAAAGATTACTAAATATAATAAACATAGTCCAATAGTTATTATATGCAACATTCTAAACCTTTAAACCTTCAATACTGCTACAAGACAACTTTGGAAGTAGAGCGGAGGCTGGCGTTTACCCCCCCTCCCCCCCCGGTGGGAATTTTCGACATATACATTTTTTGGTTTGTATTGACATGTACTTTAAGGTTTTAGGTGTTTGCCACTTGTGAATTACAGCATGCTCTGGAAAATACGAAAATATCATGAATATATATATTTAAAAAAATGGTTTTTCTTTAGCGAGTTCGTTTGGCTCTACAACCCGACCGATTTTCATGATTGAGGTCTCAAATTGAAGGTATTAACGCACAGATTTCACATCAAGCATCGGCATATAGTTGCCTACAGTCCCACTCGGCTTATACGTAAACAATATTTTTTCCCATGTATTTCTTATGGGAGTTAAATTTGGTTTTTCTTTTCCGAGTTCGTTTGGCGCTTCTACCCACCCGATTTTCATTATTGAGGTCTCAAATTGAAGGTATGCACGCACAGATTTCACATCAAGCATCAGTATATATTTATCGACAGTCCCACTCGGCTTATACGTAAATTAAATTTACCCTCCATGTATTTCTAAAGGGAGTTAAATTTGTTTTTTTTTCTTTTCCGAGTTTCTTTGGCTCTTCTACACGTCCGATCTTCATGATTGAGGTCTTAAATTGGTAGTATGCACACATATATTTCATATCAAGCATTATTGTATATTTATCTACTTTATTACTCGACCAAAAAACATAGGTTTGATATATTTTTTAATTCGTATTTCAATTTAAATTGTACAGTATTTTACCATTTGTAATGATATAACCCTATATATTTTGGTCTAAGAACCTTCAGTGAAATGCCGGCTTGCATTTAAGATATTAGTTATTCAAATCGGACGGGTTTCAAGCAAACGCAAGGTGAACATCCAACATAAAAAAACATTATAAGGTTTTTCTATGATTGAATATCAATAGCTCCAGTATTGTTTACGTTTTTTATATGTTTTAGACTCAAAATAATCAGTCAACTATAGGCTTTAATTTGAGGTATTGATCGTTTGAATCAGTTAAGTTTAAGATACTGTATTACACATTTAAAAATCATAAATTTGATTATTTCTCGGATATGATATTTATTTTAACGCTGCAGTGCATCATGGGTCCTTTAGTATAGATTTTTAGTTTGATTTGATTTGATTAGTTGATTCCTGTGCGTAGGACGGGCCCACAGCTAGTTAGAATTTGAAAATGCAAGTATGGTGAAGTCATCAGATTGTTCTCACAGTGACACACAAGCAAATGAAATGAATGAAGTGAGCAAAGTATTTTGCAAGTACTGATCTTGATGCTTTTGAACAATGCATTATTCTGCTTGAAGTTGAAAACCGTGATCAGAATTCCTAGATGGTCTGTTTATCAGCTGGAAGACCTGTACCCGAATCGGTGGAAGACAATTTACAGCTGCATGCAAACAGATTAGTTGAGATATGAGCTAAAAGAAATATTTTTCTGGAGTTTTACTGCTGTCCCAGGAACGTGATATTAACCTTGAGAAGCTGATGACATACCCATTAGATCCAGGACCATGGGCATTAGCCACTACCGATCGATGCCCAACA